TTGTGGGGTGTGTGTGTGTGTGTGTGTGTGTGTGTGTGTGTGTGTGCACGCGCACGCGCGCGTGCTCGAGTGCGTGCGTGCGTGTATATGTAGAGGTCAGAGAACAACGGGCAGGGGTTGGTTCTCTCTCTCCACCATGTGAGTTTCAGGGATTGAACTCAGATCCTCAGGCTCAGCGGCAGACGTGTCCCGTCCCCCCCCCCCAACCATCGCACAGAATCCCCAGTTCCGTTCTCAAGGTTTTATGGAGAATTTGTTTGTTTTAAAAGGGTTTGCTTATATTTCCTACTAATCCAGGGCTGTTTAGGCCTCACAACAGCTTTCCTGAGAGTGTGAATGGAGGGAGAGATGTTTCTCAGGTTCCTTGTTTGGGCTTCACCAGCCTGTCAAAGGCTCTGAGTGGCATCTCTACTATTTGAAAAATAAAATGTCCCCTGACACTGTGGCAGATGACAGTATCTCAGCACTCCAGAGGCAGGGGATTCCTGTGAGTTCAATGCCAGCATGATCTACTTAGAAATATTCTGGTTTTTTATTTTTGTTTTATTTTCACTCCTTCTTTTCTTTTTGTTTTTTTTTTCAAGGCAAGTTTCTCTGTGTAGCTTTGGAGGCTGTCCTGGAACTCGCTCTGTAGAACAGACTGGCCTTGAACTCACAGAGCTCTCTGTGTCTCTGCCTCCCGAGTGCTGGGGTTAAAGGCATGGGCCACCGCTGCCGGGCTTTATTTTTGTTTTCTTGTAAGAAAAGGAAGAAAGAGTGCAGAACTGGAGTTGTAGCTCAGTGGATAGAGTGCTTGCCTGATATGCTCAGGGTCCGAGGTTCAGTTCCCAGTAACTCAGGAAACTGGGTGTGGTTGCACACACCTGGGATCCCAGCACTTTACAGGCTGAGGCAGGAGGGTCACCCTAGTGTTCCAGGTCATCCTAGGGTACTTAGTCAATTTGAGGCCAGCCTGGGCCATATGAGACTTTGTGTTAAAAAGAAATGAGGGTGGGATGGAGAGACGGCTCACTGGTTAGGAGCACTTGTTGCTCTTGCGGAAGACTCGGGTTGGGTTCATGGTACCCACATGATGGTTCAGAAAACTCTCTAACTACAGTTTCAGGGGGGTCCAATTCATTTTCTGGCCTCTGCAGGCCCTGTTCATGTACTCCGTACTGCATGCAATTATATATATGCAGGCAAAACACTCATATACAATTATTTTATTATTTTTTATTATTATTATTATTTTTGTTTTTTTGAGACAGGGTTTCTCTGTGGCTTTGGAGGCTGTCCTGGAACTAGCTCTTGTAGACCAGGCTGGGCTCGAACTCACAGAGATAGATCCTCCTGCCTCTGCCTCCCAAGTGCTGGGATTAAAAGTGTGCGCCACCAACACCCGGTTATTATTATTATCATTATCATTATTATTATTATGTTTTTCCCCAGATAGGGCCTCATTCTATAAAGCTTTGGCTGTCCTGGAACTCACTATGTAGAATAGGATGGCCTTGAACTCATAGAGATCCACCTGCCTCTGGCCCCCAAGTGTTGGGATTAAAGTCATATGCCACCATGCCGCAGAAGGTCTTTGTTTCTTTAACATAGGCTTGGTTAAAATAAGGAAGTAGAAACAAAAGCCTTTCAACCCCCAGCACTTGAGAGGCCAAGGCAGGTGGCTATCTGAGTTCAAGGCCGGCCTGTTCTACACAGTGAGCACCAGGCCAACCAAGGCTACATAGTGAGAGCTTGTATCTCCTGCCCTCAAAAAACTTCTACGGTAGAATTCCAGTAGATACCTCATCTGAATTATCAACAGCTTTAAAGTCCTTGTTGGGGGCTGGAGAGATGGCTCAGAGGTTAAGAGCACTGGCTGTTCTTCCAGAGGTCCTGAGTTCAATTCCCAGAAACCACATTGTGGCTCACACTCTTCTATAATGAGATCTGGGGCTGTCTTCTGGCCTGCAGGGACACATGCATGCAGAATACTGTATAATAAATAAGTAAATATTTTTTAAAAGATTTTGTTTATTATGTATACAGTCTTCTGTCTGCACACTAGCAGAGGGAACCATATCTCATTCAAGGTGGTTGTGAGCCACCACCTGGTTGCTGGGAATTGAACTCAGGGCCTCTGGAAGAGCTGAGTCATCTCTCTAGCCCCAGCTTCTTCCTCTTGATTTTAACCCATCTATATGGTTTTTAAAAGTGGACCTATCATAAACCACATAAATAAATCTTAAAAATCCTTGTTGGGCAGGAATGGGGACAGAGCAGGGTCCCTGCCCACCCCCAGAGAACAGGGCCTAGTAACACACTGTCCACTGGCTCTCCTGTCTAACAGGACACTGTCCTCAGCGCTCCAGGTCGCAGACAGCATGAGCTCCCAGTTCCTCCTGGCTTTCTTCCTTGTCCTGCTGGTGTTGGGCTATGGTGAGTGGGGCTGTAAGGCGGCGGTGAGGGGTGGGTGAGGAACGGGTGAGGTCACCTTCAAGCGTCTTCCCACCTTGCTCTGGCACTGCTCTTCTTTCTCATTACCCAAAGCTTCCCTCAGTGCCTTCAATCTAACCATCACCTCGTGTTTCCCAACAGAGGTCCAAGGGGCCCAGGGGCTCCAGCAGGATGATCCAGGCAGCCCGGCTCTGTTTGGCAAGGTGCAGGAGTCCATTTCCAGTTACTGGGACACGGCTAAGGCAGCTGCCCAAGAGCTGTACCAGAAAACGTACCTGACCAGTGTGGATGAGAAGCTCAGGTGGGTCCTGCCCAGAGAAGACAGGTCCCACCTTACTCCCTCAGACACAGGGTCTAGGCCTGATCCCTCTGCCGCAGGCACCAAAAGTCCAAGCTTTGGTGCTTCTCCCTAGTCCTAGGAACCCAGACACCAGCCTCCTCCCTCAGATGCATGGGTCCTGGCCTAAACCTTGCTCTGTCTGGCCTACAGGGTCAGGCCTTAACTCTCTTTCCTGAGTCCCTGAAGGAAAGAACTCAGCCATAGACTCAGGACCATGCCCAGCCCTCGTGGCTCACACCAAAGGTTCTGTCCCATCCCTCAGACTCAGGGCTCCACTTTCCAGGCCCTTCCTCCAATCCCTTTGTGCTTTCTCTCCAGGGATATGTACAGTAAAAGCTCGGCGGCCATGAGCACTTATGCGGGCATTTTCACCGACCAGCTTTTTACTCTGCTAAAGGGCGAGTAATGCCGTGCAAACCCCAAGTTAGGGGACAGGAGAACTGGGCCCTCGACTTCTTTCTTCTCATCACCTGACCAGGATGGTCCTACCCTCTCCCAACTCTAGATGGAACTCTTTCAGTGAAAGAATAAATCAATCCCAGTTCATTGACTTTGGTGTGGCTTTTTTTTTTTTTTTTTTTCCTGAGGCTCCTGAGCCTTTGGAATCTAGACAATATTTGGTGAGTGTGGTTTTATGGTTAGCATCCTGCCTTCTGACCATTTGGTGAGCACCTGCATGTCTGGGGCTTTAACTCCAAACCTGGTCCATTGGAATACTAGTCAGACATCTGGGTTTGAACCTGCTTTCCTAGCACTTGAGACCTGAGGCAGGAGGATCGTAGCAACTCTAAGTCCTGGGCTACATAGTGAATTTTAGTTTACTTTTTAAATTACATTTATTTATTTAGTTTTTTTAGACAGGGTCTCTCTACATAGCTCTGGCTGTCCCAGAACTCGCTCTGTAGACCAGGCTGGCCTTAAACTCACAGAGATCCTCCTGCCTCTGCGGAACAAGTGCTAGGATCGGCAGCATGAGCCACCACACGCTGCTTTTACCTCTTTAATACGCAGCAGGACTTCTGAGGCCAGCTTAGGTGGCAGTGTAAGATCTCTCTGTCTCAAAACAAACATACAAACAACATACACACACAGACACATACATACACACGCCTACACACATATACACAATACATACATACACACATATAAAATACACACACACACATATACACAATACACATACATATACACACAAAAATTTTAAAATAACAAATAAACAATTTTAAAGGCATGGTGGTGGTGGTGCACGCCTTGAATCCCAGCACTAGGGAGGCAGAGGCAGGTGGATCTCTGTGAGTTTGAGACCAGCCCAGTCTACAGAGTGAGTTTCAGGATAGCCTCCAAAGCCACAGAGAAACCCTGTCTCAAAATAACAACAACAACAAAACAAACAAAAAACCCCAAATAAACAACTTTAACTTCCCCTGCCTGCTCCAGCAATCCAGATGTAGCAGTTGGAGCCTATATTTACAATATTCCCGAAGTCCTGAGGTGGAGGCAGGGAAATCAGGACTTCAAGATTATTCTCCACTATACAGTGAGTTTCAAACCTGCCTGGGGTACATGAGACCCTATTTCAAAACCAAACAAAACCAAATAGGCAAACAAAAACAGGGTGGCTCAGAGTGTACAGGGGGTCCATTCCCAGAATCCACATCCAGTTGGGAGAGGAGAACCACTCCACAGAGTTGTCTTCTGGCCTCCACATGTATGCCTGGTGTGGCACACACACCCTCACACCCCATTGTATACACACAATAATAATAGTTCAGAGCTAGCCAGGGGGTGGTGGTGCACACCTGTAATCCCAGCACTCAGGGGGCAGAGACAGGGGGCATCTCTGTGAACCCGACCGCCTGGTCTACCAAGTGAGTTCCAGGACAGCCAGGGCTGTTAACACAGAGAAACCCTGTCTTAAAAAACATAACAAATTTTTTTGCCATCAAAAAGAAAAAAAAAAAAGAAAAAAGAAAAGAAAGAAAGAAAAAGAAAAAGAAAAACGTAACAAAACAAGCCAATAGCTGGAACCATTTTGATGGTTATAACTTTGTCATGTATTTCTTTTGTTTCTCCACGCTAGGGTCTTACTTGCAGCCAAGGTCCACCCTCCTGTGTGGACTTGAGGACAGGTCTATGCTCCTCACACCGGTGTCCCATAGAGGACCCATGGCCTGGATTTCTCTTAATCTGATCGGCAATAACCCCCAGCCAGTCTTTCAATTCTCCCGGGGCAATTTTCCCAGGTCCTGAGGCTGGGCAGCTGTGAGTCCAGTAGAAAACAGAGACTGGAAGGAGGGGCCGTGGAAGGCTCCCAAGTCCCCAGGGCCTGGGAAGAACTGAGGCTGCCAAGCTCTGGGGGTGCCTGGGAGGGGGAGACGACACAGGGGGAACAATTCCCGCTCTGTCCAGTGTTTCTCACAGACTCAAGCCAAAGGGAACCACTGCCCAGGCCAGTTCTGCTCTCAGCCAATCCCGGTGCCGCCCCCAAATTCCTTTCTTTTTCAGATCCCCAACCACCTCCGTTTAGGACCCCACTGTCCAGGCTCCCAGATTCCGACTCTCTAAGAACTGAGTGATCGGAACCCTAGATTTCTCCTCTCTCAGACGTAGGACTCTGGATCTTGAGTCCTGTCTCCTGAAGACTGGGGTGGGCCAGTTTCCCCGTCTTGAGAATCTAAAAACACAGTTCCTGGTGGAGTTGGGTGCCCCCTAATGGTGTACAGAATGAGTCGTTCTGTGATCCACTTAAAATGTTATGAATCGAATTGGCACTGAGGACAGGTACAGAGAGACCTGTAATCTGTTTGTGGCAATTCCTGGCCAGCCTCCACAACATAGCGAGAGCTTGTCTGGACAACAAAAGCCTGGTTGCTTATTTGTTTGTTTTCTTGAGGCAAGGTTTCTCTGTGTACTCCTTTTTGTCATGGAAATTGCGCTGTAGACCGGACTGGCTTCAAACTCAACAGAGTTCCATCCACTTGCCTCTGCCTGGGATTAAATGTGTTCAAAAAGCCTGGTTTTATGTGATGCTGGAATTGAAAGCCAGGGTGTCATGCGTGTTAGTCTACCAACTACACCTCTTAGTCCTCATTGGAACATTACAAAATTTTAAAGTTCATTTTGTGTGTTTGAGAGTTTTGCCTGCACGAGTGTGAATGCCTGGCACTCAAGGAGGTCAGATGAGACCATCAGGTCCTCTAGAACTGTCGTTATAGATGTTTGTGAACCGCCATGTGGGTTCTCTGGCAGAGGAGCATCCAATGCTCTTGACTACTGAGCCAACCAAGACTCCACCCTTCATTCACCTGCCGCTACCTCCTGAGTGTTGGGACTATAAAGGCTTGTGACACTGCCACCATCACCCACCTTCATCTGTACACTTTTAACGGTTTCTTCTTGCATTGTGGACCCTTAGGTAAGTCACCTTCTTCACCCAGAGAGCTTGTTTTGTTTTTTAAATTCATTGACGATCCCTAAGTCAATGCTGGGGACAACCTCAGTGACTACAGTAATCCCGGGTCTGGCCTGTGCAATGCCGATAGACACACTCAATAGTGGGCTCAGGAGGCATAGATGGGAGAACAGAGGAGACTAGAGAGCCTGGAGGGCCTCCTGGAGGAAGAGTTACTACCACAGAGCTAGGATCTAACGGACAGGAGAGCAAGCAGAGAGTAAAATGGTAGATGCTTAATTTTCTTTTTTTTCAAGGCACGTTTTCTCTGTGTAACGTCTCGGAAGTCACTATGTGGACCAGGCTGGCCTTGAACTCACAAGAGATCTGACTCCTGAGTGCTGGGATTAAAGGCGTGCACCACCAATCACTGGCTAATTTATCTTTACTTTATGTACATTGGCGTTTCACTTGCATGTATGTAAGGGTGTCAGATCCCCTGGAACTGGAATTACAGACTGTTGTGAGCCGCCATGTGGGTGTTGGGAATCAAACCTGGGTCCCCTGGAAGGGCAGCCAGTGCTTTTAACCTCTGAGCCACCTCTCCAGCCCCTTATGGTAAAGATGTTTTGGTTGGGGCTGCAGAGATGGCTCAGCTATTCTTCCAGAGCACTGGCCAGCATTCTTTTCCGAGCTTCCATGTGGCCACTCACAGTAGTCTTAACTCCAGTCCCAGGGGGCCTGGCGCCCTCTTCTGGCCTTCAAAGGCACTAGGTACGTACATGGTTTACAACCGTATGTGAATCCTTCAAAATTTTTTAGTGGTGGCTGGAGAGATATCTTAGAAATTAAGAGGGCTTCCTTCCATCTGAGCAGCGCTCAGTTCCCAGCCCTCCAGCTGGGCAGTTCACAATTGCTTGTAATAAGTTGTAGCTATGTAGCCCAGGCTGGTCTTGAACTCAGAGATTTGCCTGCTTCTGCCTTCCAAGAGCTGGGACTAAAGTCATGCACCAACACACCCAATTCTTGACTGTGGTCTGACGGTCCTTTGGGAGATATTGTAGCTAATCTAAAATTTGAGAGATTTTGGTTGCTAATATAATTTGCTACCTTCGTAGCTAACAAACTTGAGAGATTTAGTACCTAATTAAAATCATGGCGTTCTAGTTTAGTGTCCTGGGACACAAACCTGTAATCCCAGCCACCACTCAGGAGGATGATACTGGAAGATGCCCAAAGTTCTAGAAATGCCACAGCCAGGGCTTCATTTCAAGACCGTTTCATTTCCCCTAACCCATCAAAACAAACAGACAAACAAACAAGCCGGGCGTTGGTGGCGCAGGCTTTTAATCCCACACTCAGGAGGCAGAGGCAAGCGGATCTCTGTGAGTTCGAGACCAGCCTCCAAAGCCACAGTTATGTCCGGAAGAACCCAAAACAAAAACAAAAAAGCAAACAAACATAAATAGGGAGGGTTATTAAGCTCATGGTTCATGTCCCTATCCCTATCACTCCCGAGCCTGAGGCAGGAGGACCACGAGTTGAGGCCAGCTTGGGGCACAGTGAATTCCAAGCTAGCCTGGGCTTCAGTATGTGATCCTGTCTTAAGAAAAAAAAAAATCGTGGTGCACGCCTTTAATCCCAGCACTCGGGAGGCAGAGGCAGGCGGATCTCTGTGAGTTCGAGGCCAGCCTGGTCTACAGAGCGAGTGCCAGGATAGGTAGGCTCCAAAGCTACACAGAGAAACCCTGCCTTGAAAAACAAAACAAAACAATCCTGTCTCTCTGGGGAGAAAAACACAAAAACAACCCACCAACCTAGAGACAGACTAATTGGTTTGAGCCCACGGGACGGTGTTTAAGGCTTGGTTGCTGAGAAGCACAGACACTATTGGAGCGTGCATTAAGGGCCTCAACGTGGTTAGGGTCCTCTAGCCAGGTGGGGTGTGGTTAAGGACCCTGGAGAGTCCTTAGGGGCTGGAGAAATGGCTCAGAGGTTAAGAGCACCGACTGCTC